TACACATGCAAAAAAACTGAATGTGACACCCAAGCATGGAGATGGGTATATTTATGCAATATTTATTCCTAATATTTATAGAGGTGCAAAATAGGAGATACAAATATTTGCTGTTTTATTTGAGGACAAATAAAACTGCTTTTTCCTCTTATTTTTTCTCCATAGTTTGTGGCAAGGCCCCCTTACAACCTTGAGAATGAAGCAGGTTTTTTTCCCCAACACTGGGTCAGCCTGACTTCCTATGGCCTTTTTCCTAAACTGCTAGACAAAATGTCAGCTGCCACCACCTTTTATGTAAACTGTGGAGCTTCACAATGGTAATTTATATATCCTTTGCTTTAATGTCCAGATGTTAGCATAATAAGCAATCATATGCTGTTATTAGGACTAATCTTTATCATTCATGAAAAAGGCTTTTTAAACTCTAAAAATACCTCGGCTGTTCTGCATAATAGTAGATAATATGTATACTTATTTAAAAATCATACAGTTTTTTCCTACACATTGTAGTCATCTAATCATCTTCATTAGCTATGTCAAGGTTAAGGTAAGACAATGGGAGACACAAAGAGATCTCAATAACATTCAGTAATAGCCTATATTGATCATAACAATTCTAACTTCTCAAGGGCAGAAAAGGGTTCATATCCTTTGGAAATATTATTAAAATGGACTGTAGACTAAAAAAAAAGAAAAATTCACATGGTTAAAAACTGAACTATAATATGGAGTAAAACCTCTCAGGTTTTTTCATGATAGTTGGTATTGTGTGGATAAAAACTACCCAGAGAAAAGTCTCACAGATCTCCCATAGCAACTTAACCTTCATGGTCCTCCGCTGGCAGAACTCCCCCACTCAACGGCTCTGAAGATAAGCACCCACCTGGTATATACTTAGTGCTTTGACAAATGTTTTTCTTGGCTTATCATTGCTGCTTTTATTCCGAGGTCAAAATGATCCTCAGCGCCGTAAAACTTTACTATTACTCTGCTTCACTTGCATTAATTAACTGTTATTCAGGGAGGGATTGTTGCAAAAAATCATTGGCCTTTTTTCTGAAATATTTATTAAAATCCAGAAGAGAAAAAGACCCAGTGAAGATGCCTTTTTTTTTGCTGGTAACAATAGTTTTACACACAACTATATATACACACAGAAGGAGAGGCCATTTTAACTAAAGCAAAATAACCTAAGTAAGATTGGAAGTGCTCTTAGGAGGCATTTTAAAAGTCTGCTGTGTTCTGATGAAAATCAAAAGTAAGGTTTTAACCATACTCAATATATTCAAATTGAAAATGAAATGGCAGTATTATCCATTGGTGTGCTTTTGGAAGGAATCCATCCATCCATCCATCCATCCATCCATCCATCCATCCATCCATCCATCCATCCATCCATCCATCCATCCATCCATCCATCCATCCATTGGGCAAAGCTAAAAAGCCATTTTAGCAATGCCACCAGGTGCAGGATTAAACTGCAAAACTAAAGGAATAAACGGGTTATTTAAAGTTCTGCATGATATGAACAAAACATATAAGTAGTGAGTAAAAGCCTCTGAAAGATTGAAGATAATGTTCACCACAGATCTGTAAAAACCCTCGACAAGTATATAGTTGTGTTTATAAAAATAAACTCTTAAAGTAAAATTGAAGAAATATTTTCTTTTTACAGCACACACATAAAACTACATCAAATTGGAATTTCCTGTTAGTAACAAATGTTGCAATCATAGATTGTAATGCATGTTGAAATATCAGAAAAGTTGTTATTTGAGAAAGTTTTATTACGATTTATATTAACCCTTTAAAGCCTGGACTATGAAATAATTGACATAATTCCGTTTTTGCTTTTTTTTTTTAATTAGTTGTCATTGAACTCTCTGACAAATTACATCAAAAAAGAATTGTTGTATAGGTTAAATTAGATAATTTATTTACATCAAACTTGATACATAAGGCATTTTTCTATAATGTTTTAAACGTTTTCTGTTCAGTACATGTGTCTTATTGTGTAAGTCAGAGTTGTCAACAACAAATATGATACAATTGGCTTTAAAGGGTTAATACTATTTTTTTCATGCCCTGTATCATATTTTAATCAATTTCTTAACAAGCAGTGTTAAAAAAAAAATAAAAAAATTTATTTTATTCGAAAAAATAGGACAGATAACCGAACTTCCCACATAGATGGACTGTGTCTCTTACTTAAAAATAATATTTGAGTGATAAGAGCCTAATCTTAAACATGCTGTTCAATATTTTGGTTATTTTAACAACTTATCTGAGAACATGATAAATAGCTAAACTGGTTTTGAGTGAGAATGCATAAACAATCCTAATCTTCTTGTCTCTACCGTAATCAAAAACATCATGTGTTCCTGATGACATGGAAACAACAGTGGCAGATCTATGGATCTGTAAAACATCTAAGCAGGGTGACAATGCTCATTGAAAAATGTAAGTTAATAGTTGATTTTCTAAATGGAACAAAACAAACAAAAAAAAAAATGAACCAAAAATAAAACTGGTAAAACATGTTATTGCATCAAAATCTCTCCCAAGAAACACATTACATTTCAGGACTGATTCCTGTCATTTTAGGGATGAAAATAGTTGTTCTGGGCATCAAAATATCTCATAAAGAGATTCAAAACTGCTATTTCTGCCCAGCACTGGAATTTATATCGAAAGCAAACAAACATGTACCTGATAGTACTTTTTATGTTTCTGCATTTTACAGTTCTTATCAACATGACAATAAGTTCTCTAGAGGAAAATCCCAAGTCAGAATCAGTGGTTTACAGCAAAGAGAGATAGAGGGAAGTTAAGAAGGAATAATAGAGGGGTAGAGAGCCATGGGTAAGAGTTAGAATAGGAGATGATCTTTGGAGGTGGGTCTTTAAGGGAATTACTGAAGATAGACAGGGACGCTGCTGTTCTTGTTGTGCTTGGTAGGTTATTTCACCATGTTGGAAAAACCCATGAAACATGGATTGTCTTAAGCGTGGTGTAGAGACTGCTAGAGGAGAATCCATTGATGATGGGAGTGACCAAGTTGTGACATAAGCCTTTGCTAGAGGGTTCAAGTAGACGGGAGCCGTACCCTTAAGCACTTTGCAGGCTAGAATCAGGGACTTGAATTTGATGCACGCAGCCACTTTTAACCAGTGAAGCTCAATGAACAGAGGGGTGGCACGAGACTTTATGGGCTAATTGAACACTAGACGTGGCGCCCTATTCTGGATCATTTGTAACGGTTTTATCGTACAGGCTGGGAGACCAGTCAGGTTACAATAGTCAAAGCGGGAGATAACCACTGACTGCATAATTTTATTAAGACACTAACTCACAAAGCACTGTGTGTGAGCATCTCATTGAAATCATAACATACATGCAAACTGTTTTTTTTTTTTGTTTTTTTATCTCCACAGATTCAGCAGAGTAAAGCTGCAGCTTTAAACTATTCCACAAAAGCAGCCACAGGATGAAAGATCCTCAGATATCTTGGCGATCCTTACAAAATACAGCAAAAAATAATATTTTTGATTGTTGGCAAGAAAGTATGAAAATGAGTTCTGGGTCTTTTTCTTCAGCAGAAATTCTGATTAACCTTTCTGTGTCTCAAAGACAACAGTACGGACTCTGACTGAATGTTGATCCTTCATTATGGAGTTTCAGTCTTCAGCAGCTCTGTCTTGTTCAGGTCTGTCTTGGAATGTTGTTTTTGGTGCTTCTGGGCAGTAAACATGCTACACTTAAAGAAGACCTCTGTTGACCCTCCACCCACTCAGTCTCTTCTTTCAGGTGCTGAATCCAGAACT